TATATTGGCATTGCGTGGCAATACCACGGTATAATGTGGCATCAAAGTCACCCAGGACTCCCAGCAAGAGGGGCTAAGTGGTTCCAGGAAAGTACTTTTAGCAGGGAAGAGCTGGCTTTACAATACTTTCCGAGTTTTCTACATTATAGTTGGGATCCTGGAGTCGGGAGATTTATAAGGGGTCTATTCACTAAGCTGCCGAATGATCTAGCCCTAGCTTCGGCTGAACCTTCGACTAGCTTCGACAGAATATTTAGACAAAGCACACACCATTGCCACACTTATTGATCAAGCAGGCAATGAATCATGAAATCACAAGAATTATTGAAACATGCATTAGGTGCTGCTCCTGTTCAGTCCACTTGGATGCACTGGCAGGGTGCACACACCAGCTCGCAACTAGTGACGAAATACACTGTAACTAAAGGAAATGTGGCACTCCTGTATCAGTTTAAGATCATCATGTAATCTTTAATTCGATATTTAAATGTACTTTACACGTACTTGCACTTAATCATAAAGTATATAAGTATATTATCTATGATTAAGCCAAGTATGCATGAAATGTGTTAGAAATGTTCTCAGAGTCATATGCTGTTTGCCGATCGGTGTGCTTATCAAATATATGCCCCTTTGCTTATGTCAAGCTGCAGGTGGGGAATTCACTATCTGCAGCTGATTAGGCAGCACAGAAGGAGCTTCTGTCCATTTTGTGAGGGGCTTCTTTTGGGTTTGGAGGAGCTTAGGTTCAGACTGGGTTCCGTTGGAATCTGAGCTCATCCCTACTTGTCAGGTGCACCCCTGGTGGTGAATACAAGTTCTGCCATAGATCCCTGAGTGCTTTGCTCCTTTGCACTTTGTAATTGTATAACCCAAAGCTTTAGACAATTGTGTATTTTAATAAATTACTTAAATATGATATTGCTGTTTTATAGTATAGGATGAAAGGGCTGAAGTATTAGTGTGACAAGGCCTTAAGTATTAAGTGCAATATCCATAACACCCAGACATAAGTCATTTTGAACTGGTCTGCATTGAGAAACATGTCTTTTGATTGACAGTTATGGAACAGGGGCATGCCTTGAGGGTGTGAACAAGTAATTATATTTAGGCTTAAAAATATATTGGATTGATTCAAAAGACTCTATGAATGATACCACACCCTACAATATTTACAAAGAAACAACAGGCTTTAAAGCTTCCACAGATACCACTTATTGTAATCATAATTAGGCTGCAGAGTTTCTGTGCCTTTAGGTTCTTGAGATGTAAATCTAGCCCTAGTAGGTACTTTATACCTGCTGTATTTTTGTTTTATTATTGTACTGATAAATTTTCTTTAGAATTAAAACTGAGTAACTATTGAGCTATTTACAGTTTCTAGCTTTATCTATTTTTATGTTAAGCATACATTTTCTGCTGCTACTTCACCATCCCTGTAAAAAAAAAGTAATAACATCGTTAGGCTAGTATCAACAGCAGCAGGTAAGTATTGGGCACTGATGACAATGGCACATAAGTTGACTACCAAGAATGTTTTTTCCCCCCAAACTCATGTAAGTAATCTGTTTCCCCCCAAAATCTCTCAAAAAGGAAGTGGTCAATGTTTTCATAGCAAAATAAGTTTTTCTAAGTATTATTTCTGATCCGAAACAAAGCTACACAGTGGATCTTCTGCACTCTATCTGGCCCTGCCACCATGGAGATACCTTCTTTGCACTGCTAATAGACTTTGGTGGGTCTGCCATTACTATGACTTTTTACATTTGTAATAAATAACACAATAGGTACATTCATTCTTTAGATTTGGAGTACAAAACCCAGTAGACTGACAAAAAACCTTCAATATTTCCATCCATGTATGAATTCTACCTCTGTATGAAATATGGCATATTTAGCAGATCCATATTACATGCCTCTAAAATGTTAAAATGTACCCTTTGTAAAAAGTACAAACTGCTCTATGCCTCTGGTAAATTTAGAAAATGCATTTTTCATTGTGGTTGTTGGCAGCATTTTTTGTCATGCAAGACACTTGCGCATAAACAAACATCTTTGTTTGAGATTATGTGATATTTCCTTTGATAAGAACTTGAGTAAGCAACAGACCTGCTGGGACAATGTTTAATTATAATTATAAGCAGCTTATATTGAACAAGATGTCCTCAAATAAAATGTACAATGAACAAGCTTAAGAAGTGGTTAAAATAAGAATGTGCATCCAAAATGTATAGCTCTCTCAATGTCATTAAAAATAGATCGGCAGCAAATATTGGGGGAAAAGCATAGCAAGTAACCATTGCTGTTTGTATAGATTGTTGTTCAAAAATAGCACTATGTATTGCTTGTGCTCTGATATCTTATAGTTTAATTAAGGGGAAATCTCTTAGTAAAGGTTGAATATTTTATTAACACTTGAATAGACACATTTCCATTAAACAACTATGATGGTAAAGGCATTGCTCTGTATTAGCTGTATTTATGCTATGTAAATATGGATGTTTTTTGCAACCCTTGAAAATTTGTTCACTTTCATACTTTAAGCTTGCTTTGTGTTGTGGTAACGCACATTAAAACTGCAACAAAAGACACTCTGTGAACATTTATCAATTCCGGCGCACAGCAAGGCAATGCTAAACAGGAGCAGTGCGACATATTATGCTACACATTTGCTACAAGGTTACAGCTTGATTCATAAATCTCTCTTTCAGCTGTTCTAAAGCAGCACTGCGACAGAATGAAATCTGACCCTGACCACTATTTAATTGCTTGACTATTTAGAGTGAAAGTGATGAATTTGTTGCAGATCTTTGCAAATCTCTAGGTTGGCTGCACATTATTTCAGGCCCAAGGGTTTACAAATACACAATAAAATTGTCGCATAGACTTTGCTAAATAAGAGACAGTCTGATTTGCATTTTATTCAGTCCCTCATTTGTTTGATAAAAGTCCCCTTTTGTGTGATGCCATTCATATAGAACAGCACCCCAGCACAGTACAGTAGGTGAATGGACCCATGCTGTACAGTAGGTGAATGGACCTGTGCTGCAGTGCATGACAAGGGCTATGATGCGCGTTGTGTGCTGCATTAAAAAAGTCCAATATATTGGTCTGTTGCTGTGCATTGGTAGCCTACTTTTAATGAATGCATGATCTTAATGCAATGAATGTTAATGTGCACAATTTCACAAGAGACCTGCCAAGTGTAGAGCAACTCTTAACATTTTAAATTGTTAATTAGATAAGAAACACAAAGTAAATATAGGAACTGTTTACTTCATTGTTAAAAATTAACCTAATAACTTAGAGCAGATGCATTTTTTTAAGTGTACCTGTTACAAACCTAGGCAATTTAAACTAATCATATGATAATAAACATGCATATACAGAGAATACCTTCACTGAAAATGGAATGATACAACTGTTATTTGAGTCATACATCTGGCAGCTTTTTGTATGCATCTTTAATGTTACCTCCCTTACTTCCCTTTTGTTCAATAAGGCCACCAATCAGATTAAAGGACAGTTTGAGGCATGAAACAGGTTGATTTCTAAAAAAAAAAATCTACTTTTCTTAGTTTGGGAGAAAATATAATTTTCTCCCAAA